TTTTAAAGAATTATTAGGCTATTCTAGATCTTCTTTGTTTTCAAATACAATTTTTAAATCAGTTCATTAATGTGTAAAAAAAAGCCTCCTAGAATTTTGTTTAAATCTTCCTTACTTTCTCTCCACACTTCTTATTGGTTTTTGTGTCTTGGTTTTAGGCGAGGGGCATTTAGAAACTGTAGGCCTGGTCATTGTAATTCCCTGTCTGACCAGCCAGGATCTGCAGCTTCATCCTCAGAAAGTTCAGGCTGTTCCTGGGGGGAACTGAGCCAAATAGGTCTTTTTTCTTTTTTGAAACAGAGTCTCACTCTGACAACCAGGCTGGAGTACAGTGACACAATCACAACTCACCACAGCCTGGAACTCATCAGCTCAAATGATCCTCCTACCTCAGCCTCCTGAGTAGCTAGAACTACAAGTGTGCACCACCATGCCTGGCTAATTTTCCTATTCTTTGTAGAGACGAGGTCTCGTTTGTCTTGAACTCCTGGGTTCAAGCAATCCTCCTGCCTCAGCTTCCCAAAGTGCTGGGATTGCAGGCATGCACCACCACACCCGACTCCAACAGACTTTTAAATGCCACAAATGAACAGCACACAGGGCAGGCTACCTCTGTAACCAGGAAGGAAGCCTGAGCGTGAAGGTGTCTGAAAAAGTTACACACAAAAAAAGTCAAGTTCATTTTTGTTTTTCCCTAGTGAACACAGATCACCAAATAAGTAGGACTATGGTAACAGGGGCTATGGTAACAGGACTAAAACTGATCTCCTGGGTCATATCCATCCCTTCCCCATAAAGCCCATCTTCCTCCTTGAAACAGAGTGAACCTCCAGCAGAAGATTTCAGCTTCCAAGCCTCAAAATTGACCTCTGCTGCCTCGCACCTTCCACATGGCCCAGGAAAGAAGAATATCTCCCAAACTGACAATAGTGCAAGAGCCCGGGAGCAGCGTGATAGGGGACTCGAGTGAGTGTGCAGAGGTTCAGGGAGCTGGCTGTGTGCTGGGGCCAGTTCCTACTCAGGCTATCTTCACCAAGTCTGTTACGGAGCTGAAAGGGTGCCACCAGAGGAGAGAGGGAAGGGTAAAGACTTTGTGGGCTTTTCTTGATTTTGCAACAAAACAGGGGAGAAAGATGAAAGGTGAGGAGTAGTGTCCCTGGCATGGACACCTAAACCACAGGAGACAAAGGGAATGAGTGTGTATAGGACCCAAGAATTGGCATTCAAGAGTGAAGCAAAAGTAGAAGGTCCCAAAACTACAGGAGAAGGCAAGATGGAAAGCAAGGGAGTGAGGGTAAAAAAAACCTGGGGAAGGGAATTCAAGCTAGAGTTGGGCTTTGGATGCCTTCCCAGGCCCTGGGTCCTCCTTGGCCAGTGCCTGGCTCAGGCTCTCCTTGAGCACTGCTGGCTCCTACAAGGGAAACCTTCTCATCCAGTTGCTTCCAAGAATCTGATTTGTATCCTCTGGGGAGCACCAGTTGTCCCAGTTTGACAGTTCAGACTCCAGACTCTGCTTGTCCTCTCAGAGTCCAGGTACAAACCTCTGGTCAGTCAGGGATGTCCAACCTACAGATTTCCCCATCAACTAAACATGTATTCCACACATGAAGAAATATACTCTCCAATAAACAATTGAAACCTGATGGGAATGACAATTGGTGAGGATAGGGGATGATTATGGACAGCAGACTTTTTTTTTTTTTTTTTTGAGGTGCTACACTTTTTTGCTTGACTGTTGATTTTTATTTGTTTTTTAGCATTGCTTTGGCAATGACTAATTCAATTGTCTTCCTCTCTCAGAGAGCTGTCTCTAGTACCACACTGTGCCTCAGCTACCATTAAATGAGGGCCACAAGAGTACCTATAAGAGGGTGAGTACCTATAGAGGGTGAATACCTATAAGAGGGTGGAGAAGGAGCAGATAAGTTAATACCTGTTTGGTTCTTGTGCTGTTCACCTTACAAATGACTTCAAATATCACGAAACACAGTTGATTCTAAGTTTCCACATAATTGTTGATAGCCTTTGTTGGGGATACAGAACTGAAAAAATGGGGAACTCAGTTGTACAAACTGAGTTAGGTTTCCTTTGGTGAATACAGTGCAGGATTGCAAAATACATTTCTTACCCGACGAGCCATGCCCAGCAAGCCACGTTCCCATGGACACTAGAGCTGGGATTCTAGCACTCTAACTAGGGAAACCACTTTTTAAGGAACTGCTTTTGTTCCAGTAATGTTATGCCACTTATATTTAAAGAAACTTGATGAGCAAGGTATACATATAAATATGCAAACACATAATTTGGTTCTCTTTTTCACATTTTAATAGGAAATATAATGATACTGATTTACTCAGAATGTCTAGTAAATGTTTTAGAAATAGAATCTCCGGGCCATTGCCTTGCTAAGCTATGATGTGGCCATGTGCTCATTGCAACCATTGCCTTACTAGATTCTGGTGTGGCCATGTGCTCTTTGGGCTATGCTTGTCACCACACTTCCTGGCTTTGGCCCTCTTTCCTGCTTTGGGAAAGTAAATCTCCTCTCTCTCTTTCTCTCTAATTTACTTTCTAATAAGTTATATTTTCTACTCTAAAAAAAAGAAATAGAATCTCCTTTCTTTTTTCTTTTTTTTGTAGTGAGAAAGCAGGATTTATTGAGAGGACAGAAAACCTCCCACAGTGGGAGGGGACCCGAAGGGGTTGCCCATGAATTTCCATTTTTTTAAATCATCAAAGACTTGGGGTTATGCAGAAATGCTCCCAAAGAAAAGAATGCCTTTGAAAGGGAACAAATCTGCTTTAAACTACACTGTTTTTATCTTTTTTAATTCTGCATCAAAATTATTACAAATGTTTTCACATTTTAATAATCATTGTCTAAATTTTCAAATTCAGTTTTTCCAAGAGATAAATGTGATTTTTAAACAAATATACTGAAATATTACCATGATGTCTCCAAAACAATGTTGATAACCACAATTATCATAGAATGGCACCTATTCATTTGTTTATTCATTGATTTGAAAATCCCAGCATCCCACCCACCCCACACACAGTGTTGGACACTGGACAGAGGCCTGAGTAGGGTAGGCTCCTGGATCTAGGAGAACTCAGAACCATGGGAGGATCAGCCCTGAACCATCAATGTCATGTTTGTGCCTGCTGTCTAGGCTGACCTGGGGCCTGGTACAGAGGAGGTGTCAGACTGGCCTATAAGATGCCACCTCCACACCCTCACAGGAAATGCCATCACTCACTGAACCTTAGAGAGGGGAGGAACTTGATTTGGGGTCTTAGGGTCTGGGGCATCACACCCAGGGTTGCTCACTCTCCCCCTCAGCCTGGGGACTCCATGGTTGGCACAAGGCAACCGGCCTAGACCTTCCCAGACTCTGTTTCCTCTCCAGGCTCTTAATTCCAGGTGAGTTCACATTCATGGTCACAAGGGGGCAACGGGCATGAAGTGAAACTACAGGTGTTGAGACTCATGAGCAGATTTGGAAGGGAATGAGACAGTAAGAGGAGAGAGAAGAGCCAGGAGCAGGTGTCACAAGGCAGTGCTGGGCCCTCAAAGCCCTGCAGCACCTGCCAGGACAGCACCTTTGGCTCCAAGAAAGACCAAAATTGTGAGACTTCTTCAAGCAACCTGGTGCCATCAACCCTGCTTCTGTGTGACATGGGAGGGTCACATGTTAACACCTTTTCGCACTGCTACATTAGAGGAATAACCAAACTCCTCAGACTTTTTCATACTCCCTGCTGGACATCACATGAAGTGCAAACTAAGGAATGACAGAATGCCTCAAGTTCTCCTGAAAGGCAGTGACACCCAACCTCAAGGTGAACAAGGACCCCAGTGCTGAGATGGATCAGCAGAGCCAAACTGCCCAGTGTGGGCTGACCCAGCCTTGTTGTAGGGGCACTGAAGGAGAGTCCCTGGCTGCAGAGCTTTGCTCTGACCCAGAAGATGCCAGAGGCACAAGAGTGGAGGTGTCCCTTCTTGACCCTATCTCTCCTGCTCTCCCTGTGTCCCCACCACCCCCATCAGGTTATAGGCATTGCAACATCTGGGTTATCTGAGCTGCTCTGACCTTCAATGACTCCCAGTAGCCCCTCCCTGAGGGTTCCACAAAATAAGGAGACATATTTTGGTCTTTTCTATCTCTCCTCTCCAAATCTATTATTTCTTGCTCACTTCCCTTAGCTTCTCATATCAGGAGCACAATCTAGATTTCTGAGCAGGTGCTTGTTGGCGCTCTCTCCCT